TTTTTTTTTTTTTTTTTTTTTTTTTTTTTTGAGACCGGCCACACCACGCTCAGCCAGTGAGTGGTGTGAGCGCACCGGTCATCCCTATATAGGATCCGAACCTGCAGCGGGAGCGCCACTGCGCTCCTAACGACACACTCTCCCGAGTGCGCCACGGGCTCGGCCCGGTGAGGTGGTTTCTTTAGCATAGTTTTCCTTAGGGGACTTTTTAGATAATGAGATTTTATTTTAATTGTGTTTACAAAGGCTTCAAAGGGTTTTTTCTTTCCTTGACCTTATTTAAGGATTTCTTATTCCTTTTCATATCCTTGAGAGAAGTCATCCGTCCATAAAGTAAAGCCCCTGCAGGCGCAGCTGCCACTACCTGTGCTTTTCATAGTTGTGGTCCTGTGTCCCCGTCTAAAATGGATGCATAGTTTAAAATTTGGATAGAATGGACTGGATTAAGGATAGAATAGAGTATCTTCAATACAAGAGAAATAGATTATTTCATAAATGTATAATTTCTGAATTGTCTCCTTACATTGGGGGAAGTGTTAAGAATCAGATGTAAATTCTACCTGCTTTAGCGTTTATGCTTGGTAGGGAGAAGTTTCTAGAGCCATATTAGACTTAATAGATAAGAACTTCTTTCTTATATTTTTATTTGTTTTCAAGTAGCATTTGAAGTTACCGTTTTTGTTTTTAATATTTTTGGAGGGGAACAAAACATGTACCTTTTATCTTCTTTGTAAACCATTTGTTAGCCCCATCTGTGCCATAAATAATTTTGGATGTTGGGCTGGTGTCCTCTGCTTTTTAAGTGATGTTGGGCAAGGCCAATAGACTGGGAGAGCTGAGGATGCCAAGTAACTTGATTTATTTAAGAACTAGGAAGCTTCATTTAGAACTGTTTTCAGATCTTGTAAGACTGTAGATCACTCACTTACCCACTCTTTTCAAAAGGTCTACCACTGAACTGAAAGATATGCAGACCAACTCAAGAATTAGGGTCATTTTTTGGAGGGAGGCCTAGTTAAAAATAATTTTTTTTTCTAGAGGGTTAAGGGGACATTTTTATGGCTGTCCTCCATCCTGAGAACACTCCTGCCAGAACTAATGACTCCCGTCCCAGGAATTCTTTGTAAATACATCTCTCCCTCCAGATTGTGGGAATGTGGCTTCTTCCTTTTTTTCCCCAGCATATATACTAGGGTGCTGTTGGATTAATGTTTATTAAGTTGAATACAAGTTTGATCATTTTAATTAGTACTTATTTTCTACTCGTCTTTGTTACACAATAGGAAAAAGAAATAGGATTTGGTATTGTCATGCTCAAAGCAAAACAGAGCCTTCTAGGTTCCTAAATAGACCACAGCATTTGGAATCAGTCCTGCCTAGGAAATTATTTTGGTGGAAAGCTCATCAATTTAGTAGACTCCAAAGCATTTGTCACTTACTGGTTTTATGATTGTCTTTACCTCTCGGGCCTCAGTTCCCTTATCTGTAGAGTGAGGACGGGGCACTTAGTTGATCTCTAAGAAACATTTTACCTCAACCTTTTTTTTTCTATGAAAGCTATGAAAAGGGTCCAAGTCAGAATAGAGTCAAGAGTAAAACCAACATTTGCAGAATAAATATTCTCTGAATTATAGGCTACAAATTATTCTGCAAAAATATATTTAGTAGCCTGGGGCATGTCACTTGTAAAACATCCAGATTTT